CACAATTCCGGGGAACGCAGTAATGTTCAGATTACGATTAAAACTAGAAAAACTCATGTGTGCACTGTGATCTCGTATTACGCCCATCTATCCTAAGGTCTTACGAGTTCACTACTTCACCAACGAGGCATTCGCTCTGCCTTTCTCTCACTTGTGTTTCAACTATCTGCGGTGAATATCACCTGCCAACGTCATTGACTTCAAGCTAGAAATCGGTATCAGACCCAAATAAGTTAAAAACTGTGGTCCAGATCACAATAGCAACTTTTTATTTCCCGCCTTACTCACTTCTAATAGCACGGTACGTTGCAGAACACAAGCATAAAAATGTAGGGATATGAGAAAAGACCAGACCCCGATGTTCATGTAATGGACTCGAAACTTCTGCCTTAGCTTCGCGGAAAAGCGTGCGTTCGCACTGCTTTATCTAGGCCCTCTCTCTGCTTTTTTCTCAACCAGTTTTTTAATTGTAATCGGTGAGAGTCAACAATCACCTGTCAGCGGTATCCATGTAATATCTTTAATGAATATCATAATACTGTAGTTCCACACTTCAGCATGGGAAAAGTAGGTGGATCAGTACTCGAGGCGTTAGCAGCCATCAGTGAATTTGAATTGAACGAGACGATAACACATCCAGTCTCTTGGTTTGCTCGTGATTCCCGTGTTCAGTTCTCGTCTACAGGGATGTTTGAGAAGACATTGCAAGAATTAAAGGTGGAACGTCTAACGCGCAATGTGGGGACTAACGGCGGCAAAGTGGGTGACCTATCTTGGTTAAAAACCTTCTCGTAATGCTTCATTGTTCCTTGTTTGATGATAACTAGAAATCTGGTGTGATGGTTGATGCCATGGTATTTAATGAACTGAGTAGTTGGCTTTGCTTTGACCAGGATGAGACCTCAAAACTCATCGTTAACAGGAGCATTCAATACCATGCACAGAGGCGATATTTACAAGACAATCATTATTGGTCTATAGCACAAAATTGATCTCCTTATTAAACTGACTCAAGTGTTTCTAAGATTTCGCTTTAAATTCGTTTAACTGATAAGTTGAAAGCGGCAAAGTTCTACCATCCTGCAAAAAAAGAAAGAATAAAGCTCTCGACGTTGATCAATCCCTGGGAGATGCGCCATGCATTCGTTCTTCAACTTTGAACTTCGTTGAAGTGACTGAATGCATATCTGGCCTTTTACAATGACTTGCGCTGGCGTCCTGCTGAATCGAGTCAGTGCTGCTCATCATCCCAGACAAGTCTGAGACTAGTTTGATACCAAATTACCGCCTCTAAAAGGATGGATGGCTTAGTGAGCCATGAGCTCGAGATTGAACCATTGACCTCGCGTGCAACGCAGAACATCTTTAGCACTGTGCTACATGCGCTCTTCTAGCATCATATACTTACTTGGATACTTAGATCTTGGTCCGTCTTCGGGAATTGTGCAAACCCCAGCACATCTTCCATTCATCTCGTCTTTTCGCGATTGTCGTCCTGGACGGTGGTTCAACTCGAGCATGGCTACTGGCGCGAGTTTCATAGCGCGATCTGCAGATTATCGGCAAGTACGAATACAGCTGATGCGAATACAGATATGATTACAGCTGCATATTTCTTCTAGTGGCTACATCCACTTGAGGTCTCGGTGGTCTTCTCAGGGACTTGTGCATACTCGTGGCGTCCATTCTACAGTTCGATTCGTTAATCTGTTGTCTGATCTTCCTACTATATGACCGGCCCATCTGTGCTTCGCTATCAAAGCGATTTCTGCTGGATCACGAAGATAAGACGAATATCTGAGCTGCGCAAGCCGGCTACGTGCTGTGAATGTCAGTTGATTTTCAAAGGTATGTTTGTGACAAAGGTGGTGATGGTTTTGTTCATGCTTGAGTATTTAGATAGCCTTTTATTAGAATCAGTCAAAATCGTGAAAACTCCATTGTGTATTTTATTCGAATCTGATGGACAGGCAAAAATATTGGTCCTGAGACACTAAAGTAGGCTCTATTGTGCCATCGCCTCACAATCTTGCCAGCACTGTAGTAATTCCTGGCAGACGGCACTCATCAGAATCCGTTCGAGAAAGGTTGCCCCATTTTCAATACTTTGAAGCGGTTCTGAACCAAATTAGCTATGCGATATAAGCAAAACGCGCAAACGCTCATGGTGTAAGTCATGCTACAAAGTTTACGCTTTTCCACTTTCCTCTTTGTAAAATTCTTCTGTAACAGTGTCTACTATGAGTCAAGAGATGGCGCACACTTTGATTAATGTATACATATACTGATTTTTTGCGAGCAGTTCTAGAGAGAAAGTCACCATTTTTCCAGCGAAAGTGTCCGAGCTACAATCTAAACGCGGTTCCTCGTCCATGTAAGAATACAAAGTAGTTGGTAAAATATTGTAGAAGGCGCCCGGCCCCTAGATGGTGTCCCTGTGAGTCGAGCGGCAGTTCTTCGCATCCTGAAGAGAATGAGGTCGTTTCTGATTCCCAATGTTTCTTATTAAGGCTATATTTCATCAACTTCTTATCAAGGGGTTTTCAATCTAGCTCTCTGATTGAACCACCATCTCGCTTTTCCACTGGATCTGAGCCTTTGATGTCCAAGGTGAACCGCAGAGTCAAGTTAAAAGTGGGTGAACGTAAATACGTTCATGACTTCGATTTATGCCTTTGCGGAGGGGCGCCATTTTCGGCTGACGGGCGGCTCAGACGGCTGCGAAAAGAGCCGCCAATATGCGCCACAAGGAAATGTGGTAGTTCTGTAATGAAAAATATACTTTTTTTCGTCAACATTTGGAATTTCTGTGTCAATAAGCCTACTTCAGCTTCAAGCTTGTCGACTATGTGTTCTTTTCTAAGAACGCAGAGTAGCCTATCCGTTTCACCGAGTGCTAACATAAGACAGCGGTTGACACCAAGTCTTGTTATTGCCTTCACGTATAAAGTGGAAGCTCCGGGAATTGATCTGCGGCCTTGTTACTATACAGATAATTGTGCTGATTATCTCCTCCACAAAGGAGCAGATAGGAGAATGCCTTGTATTGCTGAATATTTACTTAGAGTACATAGAAATGAGTCGTCAGGTAGCAAAAGGAAAGAGGTTCCTATTTTCAAACGTGTAAATTGAATACCCAAAAGCGACTCCATTGTCTAGCCTTTTCGAAAACCGAGTAACAGAGAGATGTTCATTCAAAAGGTCAACTCTCTACAAATTTTGGAGTAACAATTAAGATTTGTAAACCCAAAAATTGCTTTTGCTCAGTCCAAAACGAAATTAGTAGTAGCTTTTTGAAGTAGTAACAGTAACAATAATATAGCAGAACGTAGGTTGTATTTAACTATTCGACTTTCAAGGACTTTGAACGAATCTTTCGAGAGATTTCAGAAGATTCGAATCATTTCTTAGAAAGTAGGTCCTGCTGTAAAGAAGGCGAGATTCCCGTTACGTCATACCATAGAATTGCTTTTTACTTCTTTTATTTCGAGTGCTTTATTGAGAACACGCTCAAATTTCAATAAATCCTTTCATTATTATTTGAGCCAACTTGTCGTGTGGTGTGGTAAGGGCTCTTGTACAGCCCGATACACGTGTTTCGTCCATACAGACTCGTCAGTCGGGCAAACAAGAGAGATGATGAACAAGTTAGGCAAATCCCACTCAGCGATTCTTGGAAACAAAATGGGATTCCTGTCTTTTACGCCCTTATCAACTATGATTATTCTGATAAAGTTGTATTTTTCTTTTGTAAATGAAGAGCTATTATAAGATGTTAGGAGTACAGCGTTGTCATCTTAGCAGTCAAACATAGCAGTTAAACAAGATCAAAGCGAAATCTTAAAAGCACTCGAACTGATCAAAATTCAGGCTGTCTGGATATGATGGATGTTTTCTACAGAACAAATTTACGTCTTGTAGAACATGGCCTGTGCATGGTGCTGAATGCATACGTCATCAACGAGCATTGGAAATCTCGTCCACATACATATCAATCACGGCCACCAGTGCATTAAATGCCATGCACCAACGAGTCACAGGGACTCTCCGATTTTTTGCAAAGTGTGGCACTCAATAGATAGTCAGCTTTTATAAGAAGGGTTCTTGAACAATATATACCGCCGAACTTACCGCCGTCTGTCCCCACATTTCGTCTTAGACGATCCGGCTTCAGCTCTAAAAGTGTCTTCCCAGACATTTTTTGAGTGGCGAGAAGCGAGCGGTTGCTAGAAGAGTGAATGTGAAACCGTTTTGCTGATTTCAATTTACCGTAACTGCTAGCACCTCGTATATATGATCCGCGTAATTTTCTCAAGCTTGAAAGTGAGGAAACGCGCTTATCGTCTTGACTTTCCATCTTCGATGTCGCACTTTCGTTTTGAGTCATAGATGGAGAGGTGCGCAAGATTATGGGAGATCAAAAACTTCTAATAACACGTAAGTTAATGGAACAGTCAGAATTATGTCGTGGAACTGACCATCATTTCTAAAAACTTTTCATCAGCACTTTCCTTTCGTTTCATTTATCTCTTTGTCAGACTGGACACCTAAACTAAATGATAGCATAATACACAGGAGATACATCGCTTGTCTATTCTGTTCTCCCTGTTTCAGTAAGAATCACGTGACAAATGTCTTTTTTTATCGCTAATGACAATATGGGAACGCAGAAAGCGCAGTGGTTAGAGTTGCAGCTCAGTAACACACGCAAAATCGTAATGCGAGCCCTTCGCTAACAAACCTAATCTCCCGTCTTTCACATTCAACATCTATATATATCTGAGAAAAGCTCTCTAAGGTCAGTGTTTGAAAATTTGCCGAAAATTATGCTTGAGTTTTGACTCGATATGCACAATGGAGAAATATAGCATCTACACAGCGTTTAGTGAATTCAAAGAAATATTGATTAGTTGCAACTCCTAATTATATATAATTATTCTTTATTCCATTTAGACAAGATTGCTGTAATCCTATGAGAATTATGTGGTGAGCAAAAACGCGACCTCGGGCGGGAAGCGAACCCGCGTTTCATCTATAACGGGGACACGAGCTACCACTACACCACCGAGGTACGTTCGCGAAGCCTATCATCTTCCGATATCTCTGTGATAGCTGTCTATGTTTATGCTCACCACTCAAATCTCTTAGGAATATATAGAAACATCATAACACTGCGAAACAAGGCAGTGAAACCAATGGAAATTTCGAGTGTTGATTCTCACAATGGTTGTCAGCTCACTGGGTTTATAAAGCGAAATCGCATGCCCGAAAAAGCCTGCTAAGGTGTGTGGCTGACAGCTATCATAGAGATATTGGGGAATGAGTGATTGCACGAATGTACTTCGGTGGTGAAGTGGTTGCACGAGTATGGATGAAACGCGGCTTCAACTCCTGCCTGAGATCGAGTTGCTCATCACTCGATTCTCTTAGGTATATGAAACATCATAGCACTGCGAAAAGAAGCAATTAAACCAATAGAAGTCTTGAAGATTAGTTCGTATTCGTAATCCAATGGACAGCAATAACACAATAATTGTCAGAATGTTACCTCTGTGTTCCAAGGTGAACGTTTGTTTCACTGTGTAATTACTAAAGGATCTCTCTAGTGATTAGCATGTAAAGCTCTTGTTTCGATTTGTTCTGCACTAAATTATCTTTGCATGTTATACCGTAATTTCGATAGACTGGAGTACTTGCAACTGAGCTCCATACTTACGTGACATTGAAGAAACGCGATCAAAGAAAATCTCAAGAATGAAGGAGCGCCAATGATGACCGAAGACGACGAGATGAGAAGAAAATTCGCAACAAACACTGCAAGTTAGCCAAATGCAAGTCACATAATGCTCGAACTTCAACGCACAAACGAAACAGTTGCAGCATTCAGAAGTTCAGGAAAGAATAGCCTAATGTTACTACTCTCAATTCCTCCATAATATTCACATGTTTAGCAGTTTAGCACTTTATTTGATCCGCTTTCATAGGTTACTTGTCAAAAAAACAACGTCTCTATTTAGTAGAAGGTCACCAAAATCGTATCTTTTGCCTATTAATTAGGATTTTCAGATGGCCTACTTTCACTCGTAGCGCGGCTCCCAGCAAATCGCCATTCGTTTCTCTCTCGCACAATTGTAGTGCATAATGGTGATCTGTTTCTAAAATGAGTAGATCCGCGAGACCCAATTCGTATCCATGAAATGTGATATCTTTAACACATTATATCACGCTTGTAACAAGAAATGATCCTCTAGTAAATCCCGAATCTGACTTTCTATCAACATCGACATTGTTTAGTAGTTCGCAGGTTTTTCTTGCAAGTTGAAAAGCGAGGTTACTGTAATACAATTTACTTGATCACGTGACGATTCGGCAGTTTTCACCTTTTCTGCAGTGTGGAAAGATCAGGTTGTCCACAATTCAGACAGCCATACACACCATGCACATTACTGAGACGGAAAAAACCAAATCCAGACAGTTTATTTCAATAGCATAAAGCGCAAAACAACTTTTTAACATATAGTAGTAACAGTAGTAGTATTTCAGCAAAACGTACGTTGTAATAATCTATTCAACTTTCGGAAGATTTTGAACGAATTTTTCGAGGGATTTCAAAAGATTTGAATCGTCTATTACAATATACGTCCTGCTGTGAAGAAGACAAAGCTATCGAAACGTCATACCATCAGTTGCTTCTACTTCTAACCTCTACTTCTAGGTTGGTACAAGACTAAAGACGGTTTCAGACTGTGAATTTCCAAGTGAATACAGTTAGGCTCAAAAAAATCTTTATTAATCCAAATAAGAACCATTACAGTCAAAAAGTTCTTACCAAGGAGAAGTAATCTTGCTTATTTCTGTGGCATAAAATCAGTAACCTCGGAATTCCACGAACTTAAGAAAAGCATTTACTGCATCATATTGATTGTTGAAGAGTTTTCCGTGCAAGAAGTCGCCGAAATGTTTGAAGAAGTGGTACTCGGTGAGAGCGAAGTAAGACAATGAGAGATTAGGCAAAACTTAGTAGACCAATTCGTTCTTTTGCCGTGTTTCATGTCCACATGTGGCTGTCGGCTGGTTCTAACTAAAACGTCATTACTTTTGCACCAAACTTTTTCACCTTTCTATTTTGCTTCAAAAACCAATTCACCATAGAATAGTCAACATTCAGTTTTTCACAATACCTCGTGTAATCTTAAATGAATCAGTTCTATGACTCTTTCAGTTGTTCGTTGTCAACTATTTTGGACGGTCACAATGTTCCTCATTTTCAAGGCTCCGTCTCCTTTACGAAGTTGTGCCACCGCTAAACTATACGTTTATTAGCAGTTTCGCGGAAAACTGCACTGTTGATGTGGAGAGTTGGCGCTGCTGCTTTAAGACTTAATTTGAACTAACTTTCTTAAATCGTCATTTCGTACCCAACAATATTCTCTTCATGGCCTGCAATTAACGTAAAATAAACAGCAAGTAAAATCTCATCAGCGAAAAACAGAACAAAAAATGAGCATTGAAATAGGATATAGCATAACTACATCTATTCAAAATTTATGCCGTTTGACAATGGAATATTTCAGCAGTGCCATTGCTTTGCATGAACCTAACACTACTGCTATTACCAATCCCACCTCGGCCGAGAAAAACACTATAGTTCTTTATCTTTCCTGTCATCCCTCACATACAACGCATACAAAAGAAGTGGTTGTAATAAACATGTTTCAAAGAGCCGGTAGAGTTCCTATAATTAGCTCGGCAAAAATCATTTTCAGCTGTTATGAAAATGTAGCTCCTCACGGTGGTTTTGAGGACGTAACGAGCCACGACGAGGGAATTTAGGCATCAATGTTGATTGAAAATCCGGTCTAGAAAGCGCATCAAGCGCGAAACATTTTTCATCATACTCATCGCCTTTCATGTGCTTGTCACCTATCGTTCAAGTGGACACCAAGCGCACAGAAATCACAAGAATTGTTAATACACTTTCCACATTACTGCAACGTGGAAATTGATGAACTTCATCCCGAACGCTTCCAGCATCTTACGCGCTAAGATCTTAGTTTCTGTGCGAAGATGGTGACTTCTACTCTTCACAATCCTCCCGTTATGTTTTTGTACTCTATACTTTAGCTTGTCGATTGTGTCATCTTTTAAATGGACACAGATAGGCCTACTCATTGTACCAATATGCTTCTCGCCGCAGCCATTACACAAGATTAGGTGCACCGTGTCAGTATATTTCTAGCCTTTCATGAAATCCCGAAAGTCTTAAATATGCTGTGAAGGTGTACATCTGTACCCAAGCAACTACCGTGTCTAGCGTTAGGGCAAATTATGCAATCTTACCCTGTATATAGACAGCCAAGCTAAAAAATTTCGTATGAAAGGAATGACATTATAAATTGAACCATGCTTTCGCAAAAATTTTCGTTCCGTTGCGCGTGCCTTTTACTCTCACCTTTTGTTAACAAAAAAACTATTGTCAAATTTAAGTGTTGTGTGTTGTTTAAGGAAGCTTTTATGTGGATTTTTTACTAAAATTCATAATTTATGTGTACAAAAGAAGTTAGTGCGAAACAATTGGAATAAAGGACCATACAGAGATTACTCGAGAGATCTTCTAGTAATCACGCGTTATATCAAACTTTCACTTTTAAGACACAGACGTAACGTCTACAACGAATATCGTGTTACTGTGGTCTATTGGATTACATATGCAAATAAACTAACCTATATGGAATAAAGAATGATTATATTTATTTGAGATCTACAGGTGTGAAGCCATAATAGGACAAGCACTATGTCGACGAGGAACACCTGATAGCAAACGCTCCTCAAAAAACTATATTTCTTCAATTCTGCATGGAACATCCTTCAGGAATTGAGCAACACCGAGAGGTTTTCACTCTATACTTTTTATAATTTCGACACTTTTGTCAAATATGCTAAGAAATTAACCACGCAGTTTGTTCATTTGGAACGAATCCTCTCAAAATCGCTTCTGCTTGGGGCAACACTGATTTTGTGGAAACGATACATCTAATGTCCGTCTGATTTAGTAAGCGAACTGACAGGTAAGAATCTTCTACCTGACCACACCACACCATCGACATAGCTTTAGGATGCTCAGAAAATTCATGTAAATCTCCAGTCTACTCGCCTTATCTGAGCCGGTCAACTAATTCAGTCCATAAGAGGCTGCTCAATCGTATATTAAAGAAATGAGTATAATGAGAATAATGGCTATTTATGCTAGCAGCTCTACTTAAGCTCCTAGTTTATCGCTTATTTTGCTATATTATCTGTGAGACTCGTTAAGATCTTCCTCCTGAACAACAGAGCGAAAGTTTTGCATACAAAGTTGCCAGTTGGTACACATACAAGAATATCCTGACAAGCCAAGAACGCTTGCAGTGGACGAAAATCTATCAAGAGCAATATCTACCATTTCATCACTACAAAACTTTATTTTGCAGCTCAAAAACAAAGGCAACAGCGGGAGATTTGTGTTCACACCATTTGCTTAGAAAAACTACTGCCATCTTTAACTGTTGAGAGGAAGCGTCTATGTGCACTTCCTACTAATCTCCTTGATTCATGCAGAGCAAATTTAGTGCGGAACAAATTGGAACATGAGCACTACATGCTAATCACTTGAGAGATCCTTTAATAATTACACAGTGAAATAAACGTTCACCTTGAAAACACAGAGGTTACGTCCTTGACAAATGTTGTGTTACTGCGGTCCACTAGATTACGAATACGAACTTATCTTCGAAATATCTATTGGTTTAATTGCTTTCTTTTCGCAGTGCTATGATTTTCATATATTCCCAAGAGAATTGAGTGAAAAGCAAAAACTTGACCTCGGACAGGAGTTGAACCCGCGTTTCATCCATACCGAGGACTCGGGCAATCACTTCACCACCAAGCTACATTCGCGCCATCACTCATTCCCCATCATCTCTATGATAGCTGTTAGCCACCAACCTTAGCAGGTTTGGTCAGCCATGCGATTTCGCTCTATAAACCTAGTTGAGCTGACAGTCACTGTGATAATCAATATTCGAAATTTCC